GGCTGCGAGCCACGGGGGAGGGGGAGGGGAGCGAGGCAGTGCGGAGGTGGGCGGAGCAGAAGCGAGAAAGCTGGGAGAGGGGAGATGGGGGTGGAGCTGCTGGGGAGCAGAGTTTGTGCGGAGGAACTGCCGGGGAGGGAGGCGGGAGCGGGAACCCGCAGCTAGCCTGGGCGGAGGTGGGCGTGTGGGGCGGGGACCCCGAGCCTAGGAGGGTTTCCGGAGGCTCGGTGACAGGTGCTGTGGGTTATGGTGGGGGTCCACCTTGCCTTGCCCTCTGCCAGCTCCCCCCATCTCCAGATGTCTTTGCCCAGGCCTGGCCTCCCTCCCCCCAGCAAGCTCAAGGGGGCACAGTGGGAAACACAACCCTGTTCAATAGAGCAAAGCGATAGGCTTCTCCTGTTTTTCTTTGCATAAAGGATCCGCTGAGCCTGGAAAAACGGGGACTCCAGAGAGAGTGGTCTGAGCTCCTCAAAGGAGCCTCAGAGGTCAGAGCGCAGGGGGACCCCAGGACATTCACTCATCATCAACACACACTCCCCAAAACACCCCAAATTTTGTCCTGTCTTCCTTACTTCCATTACCACCCTACCCTCACCTCCCCCCACAAAAGAAGTTTCTCAGGGTGGGAGGCTGCAAGCTAGAATTTCCAAGGAAGGCGTTTCTGGACTCCTCTCTTCGAACACCAAGCCCTTTTACACCTGGCCCCTGCTCCTCCAGAATAATAGCTGAATGCAAGTTACTCCACAGATGGCCCACCCCACACATAATTTACAAAGTTCATGCTTATTTAAACAGCCATGTCCTAAATGAGCCATCTTCTCTACTCTTCTTCTTCCATCACTGTCTTCCTCTTGCAACACACACTGTCACTATTAAGGGCAGTTGGGCTTGGGGAGATGCTGGCCAACAGAGGCCCACCTAGCTCTAACCTTGGGGGAGGGGAGCTCCTCCTGAAACAACGGGAAAAATGCAGCAGGGGCTTCCAGGCAGCCTCTTCGTGTTTAGTCTAAAGCCCCTTTCAGTTCCAACCTGGTTTGAATGCCTAGAAATGACTTAACTCCTGCTCAGCGCCACAGAGGCCACCTCCTAGTCTCCTATTCAGAGAGAAGTAGGTAGGGGTAAGATGCCTCCCAGATCAGGTACTCTGAATTCCCGTTCTGCCTTGAAATGAATCTTAATGGATTTCCCACTTCCTCAAAGAATTTACTGAATTTGCAGGAAGTGACCACAAATTCTTAGTTTGTGTGGTTTGTCTGGGCAACAGTAACCCATGTTGTTCCAATCCCAGTTCTAATCTTGCCTGACTGGTAAACTGAGGCATGGTGGTCAGTCACACCACACTATGCCACTATTTCCTTTTTTGTAAAGTGGTAATAGTGTAGCTGTGCTATCTTCCTAGAGAAGTATTATAGGGACAAAAACTTGAGAAACTCTTAGCATGTATATATGGGACTTTAAAATTCTGGGGGGAGTGCCAAATATTATGGATTAGAGAATTTACATTGTCAGTGGCAAAACAAAATAAATTGAAATACACATATACTGAAATTAAATCTGTTTGCCATGTTGCTTATTAATCTTACTAATTTCTGAGGTATGATGTTGGCTAATATCATTGGCATATGTCAAGGGTAGGGAGTCACTTTTGGAAGGAGCTTAAACAACCTAATAGTAGTAACATCCACTTAACTTTTGAACAAAAATTTTGTTGTCTTTTTTAATTGAAAACATTTTACTGAATTATGTTTTAAAACTTCAGATAATCATAAGGATCGTAACATTGTAAATGATGGCTCCATAACAGAGGAGCTAAGTGCTTCCAGGCCTGATCCTACAATGAGGAAATGGAAGGGTCTATTGCAATTATGGCAGTAACAGATTAGTGCAGTGTTGTTTATTTTTACACATACGGAAACTGAAGCTTGGAGAGGTTAAGTGACTTTTCCAAATCCACATAGTAAATCAGTGAAGGAAGCATTCAGAATTTTGACTCCTGTCCAGTGCTTTCTGAAGCACATCAACATTGTGTGGCTTCCCTAATGCTAAAGAAAGGGTCCTGTGTGGCTCCTACCTGCCGTTTGCTCTCTGGCCTCAGTAAGGGCGAGGGAATCAGATGGAAGCTTTCTACTGAGCATTTGTTAATTAGCATTGAACATTTGATACCAAGTTGCTGTTTTGTCAAGTCTTCCGACAAGAAAAGAAATCCTTTTCTTTTCATCTTCTCCTGGGAAACACTGTCCCCTTTCTTGCTCTTTAATGAAACTTGCTTTCTGAGAGTAATTTGATCTGCACTCTTCTTTAAGGTAAATTTAGTCCCTGGTGAAAGGTGACGGATCAACAGCCACCTGTAAGAGGAACCCTCTATTTCTCAGCACTCACTGCCTATCCTGAAAAGGGGGGTAGAATTCTTAGGCAGTCACGAATGAAGTCATAAACACTGGAATAACTAAGCTGGTAATGGTGTCGTAGATAGCAGATAAGGAGAGGTAAGCTATTCTGGGTCACATGCAAAATCTGGGATGGATGAAGGCCTAAGACCTGGACATGCTTGTCTGAAATGGCGAGGGAAAGAGACACCAGGTGGTTCTCTAAACCTGCTGGGCCATCAAACTACTGCTTTAGGCTAGGGAGAGACTGGCTGTGGAGAACAAAGAGAAAACCGGGCAGGTAGTTCACAGCGGCAGGGTTGAGTTGAACAGTGGTTCTCAAACTTCGCTGCCCATTAGAATTACTGGGAGAGCTTTTAAAAATCCTGATGGCCAGGCCACACCCCAGACCAATTAATTCAGATCCCAGAGGGTGGGACCATCAGTGTGTTTGTAAAGTTTCTCAGGTGATTCCACTGTCCAGACAAGGATGAGAACCACGGCACCTAGCAGAGTACTGCCCTGCTCCTCACAAACCCTGCCTGCGCTCAACCTGGCCAAACCGAGGACGGAGGCAAAATGAACCACTCAGCGCTAAATCTTCCTGTCAGGCACCCTTTCTCCTCCGCCCACAGCACGCTTCAGCTCTCTTGCATCCTGCTTCCGTGAACAAAACGACGATTTCAACCTGACTGTGAATTTAGCCACTGTATTGCCTTTCCCAGTGCGCATCTTGAACCACATTTCTAATTGTAAGATGAAAGGGTTTGTTCTACAAAGAGTCTGAGAATTTTCTAGCCATTAAAGAAACAAAACACACGATGTAAGCACCTGCCTAAACTTACTGTTAATATTGGACCAACACTAATTGATAGTGTCCATAATTATAAATCGGTTCTGTAACTGCTGCTAGAGACTGTTTTTAAAGGATAATGTCCTGTCTTCTCTTCCTCACTCCTCTCTCCTAAATACACACAGATACTCCTTTGCCACCCACACCTACTTATGCACCCGTGGCCTGTGCAACACGGAAGATCACTATTCAGGCACGTTGATCTGTACATCCAGTGCTAAGTGAGAAAAATATGTTTGTTTCCAGAATAGGAATATCTTAGATCAAAAATAAAAGAGTTTATTTTTCTTACATCAAAAGACTCAGAACTTGCCCTGGCCGGCTTGGCTCAGTGGTTAGAGCGTTGGCCCAAGGACTGAAGGGTCTTGAGTTTGATTCCAGTCAAGGGTGAGACCTTGGTTGCCAGATCGATCCCCTGCCCCAGTTGGAGTGTGTGCAGGAAGCAACCAGTCGATGTGTCTCTCACATCGATGTTTCTCAATATCTACCCCCCCCCCTTCCCCACTCTCTCTGAAAAGCAATAGAAAACATATCCTTGGGTGAAGACTAAAAAAAAAAAAAGACTCAGAACTTAACATGGATTCATACCACTTTGGAGCTGAAAGGGACTTTGGAGATCTGACTCATTCATTGAACTCAGTCATTGAGAGTGCCAGCTCTAAATCTAACAGACCTGAGTTAGTGTCTCAGATCTAGCACTTTCTAATCTCTATGACCTTGGGAAAGTTTCTTAATCTACCTCAGGACCTCAGGCTTAGATTTCTCTTCTTTAAAATGGAGGTATAGCCATAAAAAAGAATGAAATTCTGACACATGCTACAACATGGGTGACCCTTGAAAACAAGTTAAATGAAATAGGCCAGATACAAAAGGACAAATATTATATGCTTCCATTACAGGAGGTACCTAGAATTGATGAATTCATAGAGACAGAAAGTAGAATGGTGTTTACCAGGGACTGAGGGGAGAAGGAAAGGGGAAGTTAGTGTTTAATGGGTATAGAGTTTCCGTTTTACAAGATGAAAGAGCTCTGGAGATGAATGGTGGTGATTGCTGTACAACACTGATATACTTTAGGCCACTGAATTTTACACTTAAAAATGGTTAAAATGGGAAATTTTGATATGTATATTTACCACAATAAAAATTTTTTTAAGTGGAGATGATAATAGCGTAGTTGGGAGGAATAAACAAAATGAAATACATAAAAGGCCTAACACAGCACCTGACAAATAGTAAATACTCCACAAATATTATTGATGAGTGTCATTAATTACAGGCCAAAAGGTGAAGCCCTGGGAGAAGAAGGGACTTGCCCTAGGTCACGTAGCTTCAAAGTCCAGGCTGGATTGAAAACCAGGCTTTCTGCTTCCTTCTCCAGTTCTCTGTCACATCATGCCTGAGTTACTTCTATCCACTTAGAAATGTTCTGTTTTTGACCCAAGGGTACCTAGGGCTGAAAGGTTTAGGGCTTAATAGCCTGAGAGATGATGCTCTCTACTTCCAGATACAAAGAGAACAGAGCCCTTAAAACTTTATTTTTGCATTTTTCCCCTTTTGCTGCTCTTGATGTCAGCCAACTTCCGTTTCTCCCTCTAGATCTGTTTGGCTGTTGTCCTGGTTTCTCCTTCTCACTAAATATCTGGGTTTCTGATCGTTTCCTTTATTTCCCAGATGTACTAGTTCACATTTCCCTATTCATGTCCCTTATGTTCTCTAATCCAGATTTCGAGACTCTGTAGGGGAGAGATATTTTTTTTCTCTCCAGAGTTTTTAAGTAAATAGACTATTTCCTTCTCATCACTTATGTGCAATAACTATTCTGCTAGATTTTGATGTTCTGGTCAAAGAAACTGAGCAAAAACATGCCTGGATAACAGGTCTTACAGACTGTTTCTTGGTGACATCTTACGTCACTGCAGAGATGAGGTTTTTAAAATGTGCAACAAAGGCTCAGCCTTGCTTGTCACATAGAGTCAACATTGCTTAAAAGAAGGCAAAGATTCCAGAAAACCTCAGCGGCACCCTAGCCTACTAAATAAATGTCTGCTGATGCTCGTGATGATGCCCACAGTTTCACAGGTACACCAAGGGACACACATAAGAGCTCCCGAATAAGAGCCTTCCTTACTTAATTTGGGGGCATGCAGAACAAGAAAATGTCTCTGAGGTAGAAGGAAAAGTCAGGAGCCCGAAGATCACATAAGCAAACAGAAACCCTATCTGTGGAAAAGGAGGAAATGAGAAATTTACATATCTTATAAGAGCATGAAGGAATTTTAGATTTTATCAAACATAGCTACCACATCTTACAGATGAGACCCAGTGACCCTCCAGGTCATGAAAGTAACCCAGGATCTTTCACTTTCAGGAGAATGCTGATCAGAAAACCCTTAAGCTTCCTTAGGCAGATCTTAAGAGGTTACTACGGTTACTACTACTTTCTTGCTCTTTACATTTATGTTTCTGACTGTCATGGCTCAAAGGCAATATTTCAACTGAAACTTGCTGACATTGGGTTCAAGCCTACACAGTTTCTATGGGGATGGCTTTGGAGCAGCATCTCCATGCCTCCAAGTGGGAGCTACATACAGCTTGAGAATCCACTCGGGGCAGTTGCAGATTCCTTTTGACTCTCTCACAGATTTTTGCTCAGCTGTGGTATGAGAATGGATGAGCAGACTTGGGAGAAGAGAGAAAATGCCTCTCGGTTGGGGGAGATTCAGCACTGTTCCACAATCAAGCCAGCAGGGGAGCAGGACTGTGAGGCAGCTCTGAGGGTCGGAGGGAAGTTTCCTGTAGAGCGAGAGGAGGAAACATCCGGCCTGCAGAGGCATTAAGAGGGGCTAATGTGTCCCAGGAGGAAACAGATGTCACCACCATGAGCCTCTAATATGGGCACAGTGGGATCCCAGAAAAGCAGTGATTCTGAGGAGGTGTTCTACCCAAAACACAGTATGTCTGTTAAGGTTGTTCCATAGCACACGGAGCACTGATGTGACCTCCAGTCATGGTGGAAAACCAAATCCATGATTTAGTTTTGGTCACTTCAAGTACATTCTCCTAGAGCTTTTCATAGTAATAAAGAAATACTGAAGTCTGCCAAGAGATTCCTGAGCTTTGGTGATAGTTCAACACTTGCGGGAATTGTCACTGTCCTAACATATAATGATAATAACAGTACTCACATGCACTATGTACTTATTTATGCTAGTAACTTTTCCAAGTGCTGTACATATATTAACTCATTTTGATTCTCTCAATAACCTAACGAGGTAGCTAGTACATTCATCCCTATTTTACAGATGAGGAAACTGAGGCACAGAGAGGTAAAGTAAACCAAGTAAGATTGCACAGCTAATGGAGTAGTGGAGCCAGCATTTGAATCCTGAAAGTCTGGCTTCAGAATCTTTGTGCTTAATCCTATACTACACTGTTGGGCGAGTCAACTGTTTGCTAAGCAAATCGTTTATCTCTGAGCCAGGACCAGACTGTCACAGTGAGAACACATGTAGCCATACCACTGACCAGTATGTCCAACACTTGCTTGATTCTAAGAAGTACCTGGACGTTTGCAAAGATATGTACATTCCCAGACTCTAGCCTAGATCTATCCATCAAGCAAGTTTGGAAACCCTAATTTAGTGGAGTGAGCACTGCCAGCCCTGAGCATCAGGAAACCCAGGTTTTTGTCCTGACTCTGCCTCTGTTTCTGAGACTTTGGACAATGTCACTTTTCAGTACCCTGTTGCTCTATTGTTTGCCTCTTACTGTAATGTTATAAGAATACATGCAATCCACCCCTCCTCCAATAAAGAAAATCTGTTACTTACAAAACAGATGATGATATCCTTATAAAATGATATGCATATATTAACAGGTATATTAACCCATACTTTTTTTCTTAGCTTGGCCTCCCTTGAAGCCCAAACCTAAGCTCCTCATCCAGACCTCCCCTCTGGCCTCTACCCCAGGTGACACGGATACACATCCCCAACCAGACTTCATCTGACCGACATTAGCTCTCTCCCTCTGGGAGCTCTGATCTGCTCTCAACTCAGCTCAACAATGAGAAACTTTTTTCTCTTCTCCCTGGGGGAAACCTTCACGTTTATCCAATTCATTCTCTTGCAACCCAACTCTCCAGAAAGAAAAGGGGGGAAAATCCCACCCCTAAGAGACAGTCTTCAGGTCTGAGGATGTTACCTAGCAACGGCACAAAGACCAGTGAGCAAAGGGGGACCTGGGGAGAAAGCTCTTGGGTGGGGAGACAGAGCCAGTTTGAAAACTCCATTTCATCCAGAGAAAAACAACAAGGAAAACACAAACAAAATCAATCCTCAGAAAAGCCAAGTGAAGCTTCTCCCCAGCACAGGTCATCTCCTTAGTCCCTGTATCTCAACTCCTTCAAACCCCCCAGTGACTCTCTCCTCCCTCTGGTTTTGCCCATGGCCCAGGTGCCCTCCCCTTGCCCTGGCCTGACCCACACAGGCTTGGACTCAGAGCTCCCCCCGCCTCCCTCCCCAGGCACCCACCGTTGTCAGACGCGCTGGGACCTTCGCAGTCCGAGATTAACTGTTGGGGTTTCCGCTGCTTTCGCCTAGACATTCCCGGGTAGAGAGAGGTGGGAGAGGGAGGGGCGACGCTCACTGAGTCTTAACCGGGGTGACCTGGTCTGGTCTCTCCCTTGGGTCTGAAGCCAACTGATGCCTTTCCCCCAGTGCAAGTCACTGTGAGGCAGAGATGTTCTCTCTTCCCAGAGACAGACAAACTCTCTCTCTCTCTGATTCTCTGTCCCTGACTCTCTCTCTCTTTCTCTCTCTGATTCTCTGTCCCAGACTCTCTCTCTCTTTCTCTCTCAATCTCTGCAAGTCTTTAAAGGGGAGACGCCCCCTTTTTTTTCCCTTCAGCTTCTTCCCTACGCTTCTGCAGCTCCCATTGTAAAAGCAAAAATCCTAATCTTTCCGCACACTCTTTTCTTTTGTACTGCAGAGGAAAGGATTTAACCCTCTCCTCCCTGCCAGGGCCCTGGGCCTCTCCCCATGCTGTCTGTTCAGAAACTGTCCCTTGTTTTCCTAGCTCTTCTTCTAAGATATTCACAGTGCTTTTGGTTCTTTCACGATTCTATACCACCTTGTTTGATAATGTAGGCTTCTGGGGTATAAGCTGAAATAACTTTCTGGTATATTCTGATAATGAGGCCAAGAAGTCAGCTACCTCCAGTTGAAATGGGTGTATAAAAATTTGGCAAAAAGACAGAGTAAAGATGAACAGTCAGTATAATAATAACTTCATGAATGTAGAGCTCTTTATAATTTATAGAATAGTCTCATGCACATGCCATTTTTTGAATATTACAACTTTGACATTAGCATGGCAGATTTTACCACTCCTATTTATAGATGATCCTCTTTATAGATGAACCAAAAGGCCCAGTGAGGTTAAGTAACCTAGCCAAGATTGCACAGCTATGCTGTAACAGAGATGGGCCTGGAAGCCAGATGTATGTGACAGTCAGTCTAGCTTCCCCCCCCCACCCC